AACATGAAAAGACACCTCTCACAATAAGTACAGATGGCCAATAAGTACATGAAAGAAGGTTCAATATCTCTGGCCATTAGAGAAATGCAATTAAAATAACACTGAGATTCCTTCTCATTCTAAAAAGAATGGCTATCAATGAGCAGGAAATTGAGTTATAACAAATACTGAGGAAACTGGGTGAAAAAAAACCCTTCTGTATTGTTGGTTGGAATGTAAACTAGCTCAACCACTGTGGAGATCACTATGGTGATTCCTCAGAAAAGTAAAATTAGAAATTCCATTCAACCTAGCTATTCCCCTGCTAGGAATCTTCCCAAAAGAGTTAAAAATCATCATATTATGGTGATATATGCATACACATGTTTATGGCAGCACAATTTATAATACCTAAATCTTGGGAACAGCTAATATGCCCACGAGCAGATCAATGGATAAAGAAAATGTAGTTTTTATACACAGTGAAATACAACTTTGTCACATAGAAAGATGGATGCACGTTATGACCGTATGTTAAGTGAAATAAATCAGACACACAAGTTTAAATATCACATGATTTTCCTCATATGAGAAACCCAAAATATAAAGAGCAAAATAAAGCATAGATAACAGGAAATAGGGAGATATTTTTCAAATGGGAAGGTAAACAAGAGATGTGGTGGGGGAGGGGAGGAAGGGAAAAAGGATTCAAAAAGAATAGAAGAAAAAATGGAAATAGAGCTTTTTCAAGTGGGAGGAGAAAAATGGTAGGGGAAACAACAGTTGAAGGGAGCAGGTAGGGGTGGGAGGGGAGGGGATAAAAAAGAATTAAAATGTGTTATGTACATGTACAAACTCCCCATGATAAATATAATCGCTATATGCTGCAAACACGTATTAATCAAAAATAAAATTTCATGCTGAGGTATCACTTATACATAATAAGTGTACACCATGAAATCTTGAGCTCAAAGACTTTGACATCTACATTGGATGATAACACAATATGCCACCTCCAAATGTGCTACTTAGGCATAAGGATTATTTTGAGTCGAGTGCAAATGACAAAAAGCAGATACAGCATTCTCCAGCCATAAGATTCCAAGTGGATGCTAAGACAGAGGATAGTACCAAACCCTGTGTAAACTCTCATCCGCAGTGACTAAAAGGCAGGTAGTATATACAGTGTTGAAAATGCTGGACGAAGTGATGAATCACGTCCCAGGTATGTGGAAACAAGACGGTACAGGATTTCATCAGATTACTCAGAGCAGTGAAGAATTTAAAACAGTTTAATTATTTCTGGAAATTTCCATTTAATATGTTTGGGACAAAACTGACCACGGGTAGTTGAGGCAACAAAACCAAAAAAGGGAGATAAAAGAGGACAACTGTCTCCACAATAACTGCCACCCAGATCAGGATTTACCTCCTCTCTCCCTGAAATACTCATCCTCCCCATAGGCAACCATAGCTCTGCCTTTTGGAAGCTTTGGTTAAGTTGTTTATTCTTGAATTTAGTAAAAATGGAGTCATTTGCTAGGCATTTTTACCTCATGATAATGTCCTCAAAATTCATCTATGTTGTTGTGAGTATTAGTGGCTCTAAAACTATTTCTATGCAGCATTTAATTAATATATTGTAGATGTTTTATATTCTTCTATCCCTTGATATATTTAGGTTACTTCCAATCACTGGCTATTGTGAACAAACTGGCTGTAGAGACAAAAGTTCACTTTTTTGCAGGACAAGGCAATATTCAGGAGTACTATTTAGACAAATTATATTCCCAAAGATATATTATTTCTGATTTTGCGATGTATAATGCAAATAAAAATTACAGGAGGCCATAGTTTTGCATTAATCTGCACTGGGCCCAATAGACCACACTCAAAGGCAATGTGGCGCCGCTCATACTAAAGTTTCCAACTGAACCCAAGCTGCCACCTGACCTTCAGGGAAGTCAGGAGACAGAGGTAACAGCCAAGTTTCCTAAACAGGCCAGATTCAATCAGCCTGATAATGCAGCTTCTGCTGCTTTAATTCTTGCCCTAAAAAGCCACCTGCAGTAACCACATGTTAAGTAGTGTTTTTCCTGTTGTCTGTCTCCCTGTCGTGCCTTACAAGGAAAGTGACTGGGAAATGATCCCACTGTCCTCTGTGTGTTTCTGCTTCCTTCAGCCCTTCTCTCTCTGTACAAACCAACTCCTATGCTCAGCTCATTGGAATATAGCTCTAATTTATGGGCCGAAGTGTCACCAATTCTAGAGGAAAAAATAAAGATAAATAATTTCTTAAAATTAAATTTTACATTGGTTTTACTTTGTGTTTTGAGAGGGAGAGATATATATTTGATCCTCTTAGCTGTTCACAACAAAGTGCTCCTAAAGCACTTGAAATTTCCTAATTGATAAGGGCGCTAACAGGGAGGGACTGTCTTCATTATTCCCAAGAAGCTCCTCTCTACAACACCCCGTTTCTATTAATGAAGTGACTTTGGCAAAGTCCCTAACAATGGTAGACAGAGGGCTTGTTGTCTGGGAAAACAACCCTGATTAGAAGGTTGGAATATTATCCCAGTCCATCACTTCCAAGGACTGGAGAGGAGCTAGACTGACTTAATCACTGGTGACTGACAACTACATCAGTCACACCTACCAATGATTCCTCCATGAAAACCCAAAAGAACCAGGACAGGAGAGTGTCAGAGGAGGAGTAAAGTGGAGGGACCTGGACACACAGAAGCTCACCCCAGAAAGCTCATAGAAGTACTAGAGGACATAAAAAGTGTTTCCCAAAGTTGTGAGAGCCACTCAGGAAGTTGTGGGGCCATCAGTTCATAGTCGGTGTGTCACATGTCCAAGAGGTGTGCACGTGTGAGTGGTGTGTGGCGAGGGACAGTCTTGTGCACAGAGGCGGCAGTCTGAGAACTGAGGTATGCTGCAGGCACACAGTTGGTTCTCACTAAGAAGTGTGTCAGAATTGGGGGTGTGGCTTTGAGGGGGCTCATGGCAAAAGTGTGTTTTACTGTAATAACTGTTCTTAATTTAAATATTCACTATATGTTGTGATCACACCTTGCGTTTCTGTGACTAAAATATTAGGAAAGGTTTTTCTCCACTGACAACCAATTCAGCAAACACCAAGTGACTGTCCTCTCATAACTCTATTCTGACGCGATCAACTTGGACGCAGCATTGAGTCCCACAGGCCCCGGGTTGAGTCCCATAAGGTTGCCCCCCTTCAGAGGCTGATTGTTCATCCAGGAACATATGACTGTCAGCCTACACATTTGGAATTCCCACCCACCCCCCTTTAGTTTTGATTAATTTGCTGCGTCAGGGCACAGAACTAAGGGGAGCACACTTCTTAGGGGTAGTCATTCGCTAGGAGGGAAATGAGAAAGGCTACAGATGGAGAGGCACACAGGGCACAGTGCACCCACATGTTCCACCCTGCAGGGACTTCCTTGTGCTCGGCTACCTGTCCAGAGCTCTCCAAACCCCAGAATTTAGAGATTTTTGTGGAGGCTGCCTCACACTGGCACAGTCAGTCATGAACTCACTGTCCAGCTCCTCTCCAATTCCCAAAGAATGAGGAAAGAACTGAAAGTTTCAAGATTCAAATCCTAGCTTGGTCCTTCAGGGTGATGAGTGCCCATCCAGGAGCCCACCACAGAGCACCCTCATGGGAGCAAAAGATGCTCCCACCTCCCAGGAATCCCAAGAGACAAAGAACTCTGCGTCAGAGGCTTCTATTGCACAGAAAATTACAAACATCCCAGGAATTCTGTTTTGAAAACTGGACTCAGAGATCAAATATTAGAACAAACAACTTTCTAGGGTCCCTGTCTGCAGGGATGTCAGAAGCCCTATGGCAGGAACTAGCGACAGAGACCAATACATACAGTTCTTGTTATTTCAAAATTGCAAGTGAGGAACCTATGAGCTAGGTGAGGAATATCACAGTCATTGGAGCAAGTGGGATAGCAGTTTAGACTAGGCGACCATGGTGACAGACAGCACATGAAGCAACTCACATATTTCCCCAGTGGATGTGGGATGTGAGAGGGAAATTCCAGGATCATTTCAAGTTCTGGGACCCAAAAAAGTGTCACAGTGAGGACCCTTGTATTGGGATAAGGAGGAGTGGGGGTCTTTTAGGCAGGATGTGTGTGTTATGGGGTATCATGGAGCTCAGTATGTGTTTGTAGACATCCAAGTAACAGATGGCTAGATAATAGGTAGGTGAGTCCATTTTTCTGGGGATTGAAAATCGTATCTATCAGCGTAGGAAGTAGTTAAAGCCATGTACTGTTTAAGAGCCCTTCTGAAAGAGGAATACTAGCAACAAAAAGTACTGTGAAGACTGAGCCCTGTACCACTCAATAGTTAGAGTCCAGCAAGAGGTAAAAGCAGAGAGAGACGGAGAGGAACAACTATGGATCAATCAAGAATCACATTTTGGAACCTAAGGGAAATGATAAAATATGATGGACAGACCTCTTTGTGTACCCTTTTTCTTCTCTCTCTCTCTCTCTCTCCCTCACTCTCTCTCTTGCTCTCTCTGTCTCTGTCTCTGTCTCTCTTTCCCTTCCTTTCCTAGTACTGTGGGTGGAACCCTGGGCCTTGGGTGTGGCAAGCTAGTGCTCTACCACTAAGCTGCATCTCCCCCAACCCAAACTTTGTACTTTTCAACATCTGGGTCATTTTGCTTTCCTCTTTTCTCCTATAAAGGCACTGCTGCCTTGTACTTTACCTGGCTGTGATTTGAGCGAGGAACGAAGAAAACCTTGGCGGACAGGAAATCTCTCTCTTGTTGCAGTGTTCAGGGGGGCAGCGGCGGAGCTGGTTTCCATGTTCAGACTGGCCATGTGTGCTGGTTGCCCACAGAGGCTGTCAGACCTTCCAGCAGGGAAAAATGGACATAATTATTAACAGGACAAAAATACTCTAATTAAAGAAAAGTGGTCTCTGATCAGATCTGAAAGCAAACCCTGCCTATGAGCTTCTTGCAAGAGACGCATCTGATATTAACAAATTTGCTGCCCAGTTTTACACATGAAGAGTAGAGCTTGAGTCCTTTCCAAGCTCACAAAATCCCCAACTGCCTGGGATTTGAACCCCGGTTACCCTGAGACCTCCCTTTCTCCTGAACCAGGTGCCTGCAACCACCTCTTGGCCACTTTGTCCTTCTGAGCCCAGCAGCAGTCCTCCCTCCCTTCCTGCTCTCCCTCCCGCTGGCCCCAACAGTCTCTGACCTCACCTCTCTGAAGGCCTGTTGTCTGGCAGGGAGCTTCGAACAGCCGAGTTGCTCATGGACTGAGGCAAGAGCAGTAGGCAGTCTGGGTCACTGACTGGGGAAGAGCCAGAGGCTCTGGAGGTGGGGACAGACCACGATTTCGAAACTGGGTTGAGACTGACTGCTGCAGGCATTGCAGAGCAACCGTCATGGCTTCCAGAAATGGACATGCTCCTCTCTTGCTGCCTTGCTTTTTCTCCAATAGGTGCACAGGGACGTAGCAGAGCAGAATCAAAGCCTGAGGCCTGCTAGGCACAGGAGTGCATACTTCTAATCACAACTCAGAGTCTGAGGCAAGGCGACCCTGAGTTGGAGGCCAGCCTGGGCAACTTGGAAAGACCCAGTCTCAAAATTTAAGACAGATTATTTTTTAAAAACTTGCAGGCATGTAACTCAATGGCAGGGCACCCCTGGGTTTGCTCCTCACTACTGCAAACAGGTCAGAATGGCAGGCCCCTCATCCCCTTCCTCCTTCCCAGGGATGTGACAGGCCACATAACAGGTGGTGACTGCCAGTCCAGGACACTGAAGCCCTGCAGGCCACTGAGAGCTGCCGTGGGATGAGGAGCCTCTCCTCCTCTTCAGGGATGAAGAGGTGTCTGCCTGTTAATTTGGGGGGAAGGGCCAGGGTTGTGCACACCTCAGCCCTTTCTTCTCAACCTTGCCTGATATCCTTTATGTTGATTACTCCCAGCTGGTGACATCTGGAAGTGATTTTAGTCATTCTGGTACATTTCTCCACTTTCTACGGTTAAGTGTGTCATTTAAAATTAAAAACATTATTGAAAAAAACCTTTAATTCCATGCTGAGGCAGGAGGATTGTTGCAAATTTGAGGCCAGCCTGGGCTACAAAGTAAGTTCAAAGCCAGCCTGAGCTGCATAGTAAGACCCTGTCTCAAAAAGACAAAAAAAATCCCAACACCTTTAATTTCTTGCTGCAAATTTAAAGCTGATTATGCTTTTTCTCTCTGTGAGAGAAGGGGCTCAGACACAAGTCCTAATTACTGGTAAAGAACAGACTTTGCCTAGACTTTAATCTTATTAAATGAATAAATTACCATTTTTCTATGATCAGCTAAGATCCAAATTTTTTTTTTGTTTGTTTGTTTGTTTTCCGGTACCGGGAATCGAACTCACGACCTCGCACTTGCCAGGCAGGCACTGTGCCGCTGAGCTAAATCCCCAGCCCCCCAAATGTATTCTTTATCATGCCTTATTTCCACATGTTAAGGCTTTACTTGCACACATAGAACTGACTTTCAGAATTAATCAAGAAGCTGGTTCCATGATCTAAGCACAAGTCCAGCTTCCCAAGGAGAAGACACGAAAGACTCAGGTATGCTTTCTAAACTTCCTTCCTCTTTCACGTGTCTATGAGAGAAAACATATTTTCCTGCTACTAGAGATAAAATATTTTTCTCCATAGTTTTATTCAAGACTAGAGGAAACTACTTCAGCAAGGTAGGAATCATAAACATTCTCAATGAACAAACCTATAGTTTCTAAATGACTTACTTCGTTTGCTTCCATTTTCCCTGAAGGAATTTTTCATTGTTTTTTTGTTTTTGTTATTTTTCTCTTTCAGTACTGGGAATCAAACTCTGAGCTTTGAGCTTGCTGGGCAGGCACTGCACCACTGAACTGCATCCCTAGCTCTTTGGAGGACTTCTTTTTTGAATTTTTTGCATCTTCCAAAGATCTTCTGCGCTATCCAATCTTAGGGGAGAAGACTGAGTAATTGGTCTCTCCCCAGTTTACCACCAAATATCAAGAAGCTAAATCGTTATAAGCCCAAAGGGAAAAACCTTAATTATGCCAGTGATTTCTAGAGAAGTATAAAATCTAGAAGAGAATCCAAAAAGCAACATTCATGCTCACTTATGTTCACCACTATTTGAGCTCATCATTTTACTTGGAAGCTAGAACCACCCCCACACCCCAGCCCTTTTTCTTTATCCTTTTATTTTTTGAATTTTGAGGCAGAGTCTTGTTAAGTCACTAAGTTGCCCAGTCTGGCCTCAGTCTTTTGATTATCCTGCCTCAGCTTTGCCGAGTGCTGGGATTACAGGTGTGCACCACCATGCCCAGCTAAAACCCATTTCTTTTTGAATTACCCAAAATGAATCTATTGATGTCAAGAAGATGGGTTACCAACACGCTCTCTAATGAAGATATTTCTATTCCTTTACACCCTTCCACCAGGTAAGTCAAAGTATGTTCAACCAATAGTCCTCCTTTATCCGGCAAGAATGCTCTTGTCTCCTAAATAGGGAGATACGACAGTATCTCCTAAGAATAAGATACGACAGTGACCCACACAACTATTCTTTCTTTTTTTTTTTTTGGTACCGGGAATCAAACTCAGGACCTTGCATTTGCCAGGCAGGCACTTGTGCCACTGAGCTGCATCCCCAGCCTTCTTTCTCCTTCCTTATTAACTGAACTCCATCATTGGGGTAGCAATGGATTCAACTTAAAGCTTACATTTCCCAGTGCTATATTTAGAAATGTGCCATTCAGACCCCCCTTTTAAGGAAAGGACTTGCTACCCGCTGCAAGGTGTGTGGCTAAGTGACAGCCTCCTTATGAATTCCCGCAACTTTCAAGTTGAGGTCATGCTCTTCTGAGAGCCAAGTGCCCAGCCAAGGACTAAGCAAGATGCTAGTGCAAAGCCTGGCCATTTCCATCCCACACAGGGTTCCCTCGGTGGGCAATCTTGCTTTGCAGCCTGTGCCCTGAGCTGGTATAGACGTTGTAAAGTTTGCATCAGGCAGTGATGGCTACCCTGCCCAATTCAACTCTTCCCTCTTTTACAAGTGTTATTCACTGTTAAACCTTTTGCATGCATAACTCCATTTCAGCATCGACATCCTGAAAAACACACGAGCAACAACACCTAGCTTCTATCGTGGCTTTGGGCACCCATATGAAATTTTGAGGCAGGGCGAGACACAAGCAGAAGCTGTGGAGTGGGATTCTAGGAAAGCTCTCTTATCAGAACTCTCACCTAACATGTACCTTTCACTTTTTCCATTTCCCTTTCTTGCTACCTGCATGTGGGGGTAGAACAGCCTCCTTGTGTCAAAGAGGTAATAAGGACAATGTCTAAAACCACTTGCTAGGGCTGGGGATTTAGCTCAGCGGCACAGCACCTGCCTGGCAAGTGTGAGGTCGTGAGTTCGATTCCTGGTACCGGAAGAAAAACAAAAACAAACAAACAAACAAGTAAAAAACCACTTGCTAAAGACAGCAGAGTAAAAACCTGGAAGAAAACTGGGTTCTGAAGGCATTGTGAAGTGATCCCACCAGCCCTTGACTGTCTACCTCTGGATTTATTATGTTGTGGAACAAATAACTCCCTTACTTAATCAGGTCTTAGAGTGGAATGAAACCTAACTAATTCATAGCACATAGGAAAATATTCATGGTGTGTTCTTAGGCAACAAAACCAAGTTACAGAGTTTTGTGCAGAGCGGTGTCCTAATTATTTATGTATATGTATGTATGTATATATATATATATATATAAATTAAATTTTGTGCATATATATATGTATATACATGTACACTTTTGATGTATACTTTTCCACATATATTTATCTATCTAAATATAAAAGATACGTTTAAAAAGAGGGGGTTGTGGTAATGCCTAGCTATCCATCTAAACTACCTCCTGTAGTGAGGGGACAAAATGAAATTGAGTTCATTTCTGTTATGGTTTGTGTGTCTGGATGTCTTTCCAAAGCCTCATGCTGTCATGGGGCAGGCTTCTAGTTTATGATTGATCCATGGTCCAATGCTGAGATTATGAGCGTGAGTACTACATCTGCCCTGGGATGGGTAACCTGCATACAATATAAGGGAGGTAAAGAGGCTTTCTCTCTCTGCTCCTCCCTTTTTGATCTTGTTGCTTTTGCTGTCTTCCACCAACATGAACTGTTGCCCTTCTGCCGTGCCACCCTGCCTTGGAGCCAGCTGATTATGGATTGAAACCTCCACAAACTGTGAGCTAAATAAACCTTTCCTTTCTTAATTTTGGGCATCGGGTATTTTGTCTCAGCAACGAGAGAAAAGAAACCAAGACAACCTCCTTTCCCTTCCATAATGGTTTGACTCTTGGGGAATAAACCAATTAGCATGTGAAAATTTCATTGTGTAAGGCAGAAAGCAAACATCGGTCAACTATGTAAGATACATATTGATTTGTCTAGGAAGTTGCAAAGCCAATTATTATATATAATCCAAGCCAAGAAATTACTTTCCTAATAGAGTAGGAGAAATTTCTACTTTGTCATCATTTGAGAGTTTCTAATGAGAATGTAAGACATCTAATTTTTAAATTACTGAATAAAAGAAATCAAGCCGCTACCCATGTATATGATAGTAGAAAGGATTTTGAACTAGAAATCAGAAAATCTGAAATGTACACCTGGTATATGAATAACTTCATTCATAAGGGAGATGTTACCATTTATAACTGGATATCCCCCCAAAATCTCATGCACTCAAAGGTGGAGCTTGTGGATGTGATTGGATTATACAGGTGCAATATAGCTGGCTTATTGTTAGGAGCTGGGGCCTGGTTAGAGGATAGAAGTCACTGGGGACCTACCCTGGAAGGGTATTTCTTTCTGTCTAGCTCCTCCCTTGACTCCCTCTGCTTCCTGTCTGCCATTCCATGAGCAGATCTCCTCTGCTATGCCCCTCTGCCATGCCTTCCTGCCTTGAACTGGTTGACTATGGACTGAAACATGAGCCAAAATAAACCTCTCTTTTCTAAAATTATAGGCATTGGCTGCTTTGTTCCAGCAGTGAGGAAAATAATTAAGACAGTTTTTGGTACCAGAGAAGTGGGGTCATTGCTGTGACACTACCTGGCCATGTGATTCAGAAGCTTTTGGGAGTGGTTCGTGAGAGGAGTTTGGAAAGGTTTGGAGATGTCAGCTAAAGAAACCCTACAGTGCTTTAAACAGCTTGATGGGAAATCCTGGTAGGAGCTCAGAAGATCAGAATTCTGGTAGAAATGCAGATAGCAAAGACCAGTTTCAGGAAGTTTCAGTTGGGAACAAAGACTCCATCAGCAATTGGACTCCAGCCTACACATAT